CCATTTGGATATGTAAATGTAACGTTACACTTTATTTCGTGAAATAGAAAGCGATAAAACTTAGTTTAGAAATCAAAGATCTAAAGCTTTAACAGGAACAAGTTGAAGATCATGTTTCTTATGGGCAGTGAGTCCAGCACCTTCATCCATGTCCATATCTTCAACTGCTAACCCTTCTGGTAACTTCCAATCAAACTGATACAAGAGGTTCGCAAGACCAAACTCAACCGTTGTTGTCCCCATGTACAATGCTGGACAAATTCTCCGACCACTCCCAAACGGTAACAACTCAAAATGTTGTCCTTTTACATCAATGTCACAATCCATGAACCTCTCTGGGATAAACTCTTCAGGATCTTTCCATATCTCCGGATCGCGACCAATAGCCCATACGTTGACATGAAGCCGTGTTTTGGGTTGAATCGTGTATCCGTTGATCTGAAATTCAGATAGTACTTCTCTTGGGACTAAAAGAGGTGATGCTGGATGTAACCGGAATGTTTCTTTGATCACCATTTTTAGGTAATTGAGTTGATCTATCTCATCTAAGCTTATGATTCTTGCTTTGTTGTTTTCCCCTATTTGGTCTCTGATTTCGGATTGAACTTTCTTCATCACTCGCGGGTTTCTTGCGAGTTCCGCCATTGCCCATGTCATGGTTATTGAAGAAGTATTGATTCCCCCAACAAGAATGTTCTACAAATAAAGATAGATCATATCATTTGTTAGAAATCCTACACTGAAACAAACAAAATAAAATAATAGAAACTATATGAAACTTGTTTACTCATTGCTAATTGATTATGAGAAAAAATCATGAAAACCTATACGCTAATCTAAAGGGTTTTATGAGTTTCATCTAGCTACTTACGATCATGATTTCTTTACAATGCATGGTTCGAGGAAGAAGACATATAAGCAAATACTACAGTAACACAAATCCCACATTGAAAATGAATAAAAAACACAATATGAATCTTCCACTTTAATATCAAAGGTTATGAGATTTGACTAACCATCAAGATTGCTTTGATATGGTTTCTTGTAAGTTTACCATATCCAAGAACAGCTTCTTCCTTTTCCAACCTCAAGAGCAAGTCCACAAAATCATCTTCACTTCTTTCTGCTCTGTCTTTCCGTAGATGTAAATCAATCATTTGTTCATAGAAAGCATCGAGATCTCGGACACTTCTCTCTCTCCGCGCCTGTAAACCCGTGAACCAATCGACAATCCAACCGATATATGGGTAAAAATCAGCAGCAGAGAAGCTCCCCATCATCTCTAATGCCTCATGGATTAAGTCTTGAAGCCTTCCATTGTCGAGCACAGTCCCTTGGAAACTCACACCAAATGATGCCTTGCAAACCACGTTAACATTCCAAGAAAGAAACTTCTCGCTCAAGTTAACCGGAGTTTTCTCTAAAGCAGATTCAGTTATCGAATCAACCAGTTTCTTCATCTCCATCTGCTTAATGGGTTGAACCGAATTAGTTCGTTTGGTACTAAAGAGTTCTTTAACACATAACTTCCTTAATTCTTTCCAATAATCATCAAACCGAGAGAAAGCAATGTCTAGATAGGTGTAAGAAAGCTTTCTTGTTCCTGAAAAAAAAACAAGAAACTAATTCAGAATCAGAGAAAGAACAAAATAATTAGAAAATGTTTACCTTCAACGCTTGGACGGCTACAACAATTGAGATCATGATCTTTAAGAACTTGTTTTGCTGTGTCAGGAGAAGAAACTATAACTGTTGAAACTGTTCCAAGTTTCAGTAACATTACAGGACCATACTTGTTTGAGAGTCTACATAGAGACTGATGTGGTAATTCTCCGAGCTGGTGTAAGTTTCCGATGATCGGTAACCCTCGAGGACACGGTGGTTGCCGTCCTCGCCGCTTGGTATGTTTGAGGGCACCGAGGAGGAGGATAGAGATGAGGAAGAGAAGCGTCAGAAGCCAAATCAAAGGCATGCTTTACACGTCTCACGTTTGCAAGTGATGATGATGAAACAAAGCTCTTGTTTTTTATATACACACACCATTTAAAGATATAAAAATATGTTTTTTCCACATTCTGCCAAAAAAATTCATATTTATTAACGATAGAAACTATCAATATATTGACAGATAATGTTGAATTCAGGAACCAATTAGTTCGGAACACAACATGGTCCAGTTTATCATTGAGTCATGTTGCCCTTTTGAACTTTTTCACATATCTTTTAATTAATACTATTGGAATATTCAGACCAAGAACGAACAATCAAGATTATTATGGAAATATTAAAAAAAGTAAGAACATAGGAAGAAAAGCCTAGAAAAAAGAGAGAGATGATTTTGCGGCTGTATAAGGAGGTTTCAAGTTCGAGAAAGCAGTAACCATGGCTTTCTTTCTCATGATGGCTCCAAACGTGTGGAACCCTATAAGAAAGTCATTAAGTCGACCCTTAACAATTTGATAATTGAATTCGCAAAGATGGTTAACGCACATCATTGAAGAAATGGTCGTCAACCATCTTTGCCAATTCAATTATCAAAGTGTTAAGGGTTAAAAGTCGATTTAGTGACTTTGTTAAAGGGTTCAACACGTTTGGAATCACACTGATTTCTCAAACTCGACACCTCCTTCCAAATAGAGCCACAAATTTAATTTTTTCTTTCGAAGAAGAACACGACAAAAGTGATGAATTTATATAGCGATAGAATTAAACCTAATTTAGTTGAATTAAGATATTGACAATCTTTTAAAACTTTATTAGTATTGACAATCTTCGTCAGGAATCTTGCCCGTATCTCCCAATAAATACTCCTTATATATATCTTTACCAAATTAATTCTTAGATTTTCTTCGTATTTGCATCCTTACCAAATAAATTCTTAGATTTTCATAGAATC